TATTTTTTCTTTAATTAATTTGCACCAAAACAATCGATATAGAAGCTTTATTTCAAAAATTTATCCTCGAACAAATTTCCTTTAAAATTTCATTCTTCTGCACTAAATCAAATAATATTTAATCTATTCTTCAAAACTTGATCCTAAATCAAATTTTATTTATTTTTCCTTCTATTAATTTGCACCAAAACAATTGATGTACAATCCATATTTCAAAGGTTGGACCTCAAACAAACTTCCTTTAATATTACATTCTTATGCACTAAATCAAATGATATTTAATCTATTCTTCAAAACTTGAACTTAAAACAAATTTCATTTATTTTTTCTTTAATTAATTTGCACCAAAACAATCGATATAGAAGCTTTATTTCAAAAATTGGTCCCCAAACAAATTTCCTTTAATATTTCATTCTTCTGCACTAAATCAAATGATATTTAATCTATTCTTCAAAACTTGAACTTAAAACAAATTTCATTTATTTTTTCTTTAATTAATTTGCATCAAAACAATTGATGTACAATCCATATTTCAAAGGTTGGACCTCAAACAAACTTCCTTTAATATTACATTCTTATGCACTTAAATAAATGATATTTAATCTATTCTTGAAAACTTAAACTTAAAACAAATTTTATTTATTTTTTCTTTAATTAATTTGCATTAAAACAATCGATATAGAATCTTTATTTCAAAAATTGATGCTCAAACAAATTTCCTTTAATATTTCATTCTTCTGCACTAAATCAAATGATATTTAATCTATTCTTCAAAACTTGATCCTAAATCAAATTTTATTTATTTTTTCTTCTATTAATTTGCACCAAAACAATTGATGTACAATCCATATTTCAAAGGTTGGATCTCAAACAAACTTCCTTTAATATTACATTCTTATGCACTTAAATAAATGATATTTAATCTATTCTTGAAAACTTAAACTTAAAACAAATTTCATTTATTTTTTCTTTAATTAATTTGCACCAAAACAATCGATATAGAATCTTTATTTCAAAAATTGGTCCTCAAACAAATTTCCTTTAATATTTCATTCTTCTGCACTAAATCAAATGATATTTAGTCTATTCTTCAAAACTTGAACTTAAAACAAATTTATTTTTTCTTCTATTAATTTGCACCAAAACAATTGATGTAGAATCCATATTTCAAAGGTTGGACTTCAAACAAATTTCCTTTAATATTACATTCTTATGCACTCAAATAAATGATATTTAATCTATTCTTCAAAACTTGAACTTAAAGCAAATTTTATTTATTTTTTCTTTAATTAATTTGCACCAAACCAATCGATATACAATCTTTATTTCAAAAATTGGTCCTCAAACAAATTTCCTTTAATATTTCATTCTTCTGCACTAAATCAAATGATATTTTATCAATTCTTCAAAACTTGATCCTAAATCAAATTTTATTTATTTTTTCTTCTATTATTTTGCACAAAAACAATTGATATACTATTCCTTTAATATTTCATTCTTTTGCACTAAAACAAATGATATTTAGTCTATTCTTGAAAACTTGAACTTAAAACAAATTTCATTTATTTTTTCTTCTATTAATTTGCACCAAAACAATTGATGTAGAATCCATATTTCAAAGGTTGGACCTCAAACACTATTCCTTTAATATTTCATTCTTTTGCATTAAAACAAATGATATTTAATCTGTTCTTCAAAACTTGAACTTAAAGCAAATTTTATTTATTTTTTCTTTAATTAATTAGCACCAAAACAATCGATATACAATCTTTATTTCAAAAATTGGTCCTCAAACAAATTTCTGTTAATATATCATTCTTCTGCACTAAATCAAATGGTATTTAGTATATTCTTCAAAACTTGAACTTAAAACAAATTTCATTTATTTTTTCTTCTATTAATTTGCACCAAAACAATTGATGTAGAATCCATATTTCAAAGGTTAGACCTCAAACAAATTTCCTTTAATATTACATTCTTATGCACTCAAATAAATGATATTTAATCTAGTCTTCAAAACTTGAACTTAAAACAAATTTTATAGATTTTTTCTTTTATTAATTTGCGCCAAAACAATCGATATACAATCTTTATTTCAAAAATTGGTCCTCAAACAAATTTCCTTTAATATTTCATTCTTCTGCACTAAATCAAATGATATTTTATCTATTCTTCAAAACTTGATCCTAAATCAAATTTTATTTATTTTT